CCGTCAGATTGGGTAGCTGGCCGATGTCCTGATTGCATGGCCTCGAATTGCCATGCACACGTTTGAAGATGTGGATACAGCGTGCACCAGCCCTTGCAGCCGCACTGGCATGCATCGCTGGACCTAGTGACTGACATCACGTGCCTCTTTCCAGTGAGCAAATTGATCGCCCACATTCCTAAACTTGAATCGTTACGCCCTGATGCTGATTTTCTGTAGGTCACTCCGTCCAGATAGAACGCAACAGGTAGGGGCAGCTGTTCCCCGTTGGCGAGTGCTTCGGTGACTCTCGGGTGATGTGTGTAGCATTCGAAATCTAAGACGCAGGAATCTCTATCCTCAGGCATCGCCTTCAGGATTATGAGGATTGAGGGGTCTGCTTGAACCTCATCATCGATCGACTCGAACGCGCACCGCACAGGCACGTCTCGTATGGTCCGCTGCGGCCTGCGATGTAGATTGACTGGTGTCCTAACCATCACCATGCCTGTCGGTTGTGGCAGCACTTTGGATAGGTGGTCCTGGTATTTGCCCGTTTGTTTCCCAGGAGGGGCACCATGCATTGCGAAGTTTGCTCCAGGGACCCCCGCTTCAACTGCTAGATGACACAGCGTGCAGAAATCGATCGCTGAAATCTTGCACTGGGCATACAGCGACAGCAGCTTGCGCAACAGTTCCGATCCAGCATCTCTACATTTCTGCGAAGACAGCGTGGGGATGCTGGCTCGACTACGATGCCCGCGACTGCGGGGCCTCGCCATCTGCGCGACTTCTCAAAGCGCTTGTAATTGGCGAGGCGGATGTGCAAGTTTGGGCAAGCGGCTGTGGGAGCAAGGGTGTGTACACAGGGGCATGACGCTTAAACGCATATGCTTAATTGTCATGTGTCCGTGCAGTTGTTATATACATGTTGTGCGTTTCGCTGCAGTGTTTTTTTTGTTTGCTGGGGGGGGGGGGGGGGGGGCGATGCTTACCAGGCGTTAGTTTACGTTATACGATGCTTTTACAATACAATGTTTTGTTGCACGACGTTTCACTCCATGCGTGTCGAGTTCGAAACCTGAAATCCAAATACTGCTGCTCTGCTGCGCTCAAGGGACCTGTGCATTCCACTACAGATCTATGACTCGCACAGCTGCAGCACCCAAGCCAGACAAGAACGCATGCCAGCGCTGCCGCGACCTGTGCGCACACAAAATCAGCAGCTCTGCAGGCGACTGTGCTAGATAGAAAGAATGCCAGGCTGCCGATCGGGAGAATGGCAGGCTGCTTGCTTTGCTTACGCAGAAACTGTGTTGTTGTTTTTTTGTTGTTGCTTTTTTTTTCGTTTTTTTCCTTTTTTTTTCTGTTTTTTTTTTTAATATTTTTTTTTTGAATTCTGGTGGCTCACCGGTGGCTCACCGGTGGCTCACCGCTCACCGGTGGCTCACCGGTGGCTCACCGGCGATGCGGTGAGGCCGTTTTACCTGTGTTTTATCAGGGAAAACGCCCCCTCACTGGGGCTCACCGGTTGCGGTGAGCATCGGTGAGCTCACCGGTCCCTCACCGGTCGCTCACCGGTCTGCGCGCTGTGGCTGGCGGCTGCGCCACGGTTCAAACTGAAAAAAGCTTGCTAGATTGCGCTCTGGCCAAGGCTTGGCAGCACCCAGTCAAACGTCTAACCAGATAAACCCCCCCTCCTCCCCTCGTTGAGACAGTAATCTCGCTTTCCCCCTTAGTATTCCCTAAACCAGAAAAGCCTGCACTCGAGCATGCAAAAACTGCCTATCTGAAGAGAGTGAGTCTGCAAGCGGGCTTCCAGCCCTAGTCTGACTCGGCAGTCTTCACCCTGTGAATCATCTTGACCCTAGAGGTCAGCTTCATCAGATCCTTGATCTTCCTATCTAACTCCCTCAGCCTGTGCAGGTGGCTGATGTACTCCCCGTCTCCGACATTCTTCCTGAGAGCCTGCAGCGACTCAGCAGTCAATGTCTGCTGAGCCCAGTGGAGTGGACCTCGTGACGGACGTCGGCCACTGCCCTGATCAAGGCCTTGGCGTCGTCGTCGCCCTTGAGGCATGCCCAGGTGCTGTCTTCGTTGATGTTGTAGCATATGCCGTCTGCCAGCCCGATCGAAGTGTGGTACCTCAAGATGATCTGCTTACCCTCCGTAGTCAGGGCCTTGATGCTGTCATCCTGCGCGGAGGACTTGCCCGCCTTGGGCGTGCCTGCCTCGCTCGACTGCCCACGGCTGCGGCCCTTGGCGCCCTTGTTGCGGCCCTTGGCTGCAGGGGACTGCTCAGCAGGGGCGCCACCACCAGCAGCACCGACCGCAGCAGCGCCTGACTCCGCAGCTGCAGCCTCCTTCACTGGCTTCTCCTCTCTGCGAACACCCGCGGCCTGCTTCTCCTCGCCCGTCGCGCTGGTGCGCTCGATCACGCCCTTGATGCCCTCGGTGATCGCCTCGGTGCGCTGCTTCTTGGTCGGCTGTCGGGACTCGTCCTGCTGCGGACTGCAGATTCCGCCCGCTCCTCACCCCATCCACCACAGAACTCCTCTGCCCAAACGAAAACAAACTCGAATGTCAAACTCCGAGAAGCAGTCTACACATAAACACATATGAGGCAACCTGATATTGCATGCCCGCCCCCGCAGTCCTTCTGGGCGATGGAGTCAGCGAGCGCGTTGATGGCGTCCTTGATCATCTCGCCCTGGGGCTTGAAACGCGCAGGGATGCTGAAATCTACCTAGCTCTGCGATGCAACGAGCTCCAGGGGGGGCTGCGAAAGGCTGGGAGACCTGGAAGACACTTCAGGAGTGAGAGCCATCCGAACTCCGACGCCGACTCTGATGCATATCCTAGCGGCGTCAACGAAGCCACAATGAGCCTCCGAATTCAACGCTGGATGGCCTCCAAACCGTTTAAACCCAGACGATTGAACATTGAGGCCTACTGGCAAAACAATTCACTTGGTCTGGAAGTCACCATTATGTTGGTTTGCAGATGCACCCAAAAAACGCCTGCTCCGACCTGCGTTTCTTGGTCTCGGCGCACTCGATGGCGGCCTCAGACCAGGATTGGTGCTTCGTCCAGGCGACCGAGAACTCCGAGTCGACACCCTCCTCAACGTAAAGGACGCGGAGCGACCGCCGCACGTCGCAGTAGGCGACCCACGGCGGGCCGAGCTGGATCGCCTTGAGAATGTATCTAGTCGCCTGGGAGTGGCTTCAAAAAAAAGAGGGCGAGGAGGAGGAGGGGGAGGAGGTATCAGGACATCGAGGATCGAGGAGTAGGAGGAGGAGGAGGAGGAGGAGGAGGAGGGGGAGGAGGAGGAGGAGGAGGAGGAGGAGGGCAGGGAGTTGGTGGGAGAAAGGATGGGCGAGAGAATAGAGTGGGGAAGGAGGAGGAGGAGGAGGAAGAGAAGGAGGAGGAGGACGAGGAGGAGGAAGAGGACGAGGATGTGGATGAGGGGTGAGGGAGGGAGGTGGCAGTATAGAAGTACAAGTAGGCACCAGGGGAGAGTGAATGATGCGGGAGAGGAGAAGGCCCTCTCGACGAGCTCGGAAATTCTGCACGTGCTCTATCCCACCGCCATGCCCCACCAGTCAGGCGGGGCTGAGAGCGATAATACGAATAGAGAGCGGGAGAAAGGCGAACGTCAGAAGGATGCGAGTGAGGCAGGGGGAGATTGAGGAATGAGGGATGCGAGGATTTTCTGCTCCGAGCCTGTAGCCAGCCAAGCGAGCCGCCGCCTTCTTTCTTGGCGATCCGTCCGACCGCCAAGTACTGACCCCTCTTCCAGTTGGTGCGCTTGTGCGTGGTCGTTCTCGTGTGCTCGATCTTGTAGTTCTCGAACTTGGCCAATGCCCAATCTCTGCGGAACTTCGCCTGGGCGTCGTGGTTCGGCCGTCCGTCGATGGAGAGCGCCTCGTAGTCCTGCTTGAATTTGGGATTCGCCTGCTTGTAGCGCTGGAACCTGCCAGCCAGCTTGTTGCCGTTCGCGCCGTTCGCAGCGAAGAAGAAGTCCGATTCCTTCGCCTTGGCCCACACGTTGTACTCCGCCATCTCCTTCTCCGTGAACTGCGAAGTGTCGATGCCATCCTCGTCCACGCCTCTGTTCTCAAAGGCTGACTGCGCGTCTTTCAAGTTTGATGCTAACATGCTCTCCTTGCTGATGCCCTTCATGCTGAGGATCTCGCTGACATCTGGGCTCTGGAAAATCTCCACGAGAAGATTGTGGGCGCTGATGGCGACGGAGTCAGGGTTCGCAGCCCTCTGCACGATGTTCTCGATCGACTGCTCCCTGGACAGGATCCGCTCGGAGATCTCCTTGCGCGGCTTCTTCTCGGGCGTCTCTGGCACAGCGCCGGCCTCGACCTGATCGAAGCTCATCGGGTGCTCATCGGTGCTCATCGCGAGCGGTGAGCACCGATAATTGACGCTCATCGGGTGCTCATCGGGGCTCATCGCGAGCGGTGAGCCCCGACAATTGACGCTCATCGGGTGCTCATCGGGGCTCATCGCGAGCGGTGGGCCTCGAGCATTGACGCTCATCGGGTGCTCATCGGGGCTCACCGCGAGCGGTGAGCCCCGATGAGCTCCGATGAGTACCCGATGAGCTGCCGATGAGCCTCCGATGAGTACCCGATGAGCTTCCGATGAGCCTCCGATGAGCCTCAGATGAGCCTCCGCGATTACCTCATTCCTGGGGGTGAGGTCTCATCTGCCCACCCAGCCTGTGACTGCGTGCCAGCAGCCGCGCCAGGAGTCTGCCCTGCGCCGCTGCTGCCGTCGATGTGCATCTGGCTGCCTGCGAGCGTGCCCCCATCCGTCCGTGGTGCCCTGGCCGCTCGCTCACCATCGCCGGCCTCGTGTGCAGGCCGCTTAGGTACGATAGCTGGTTCGGGTACATGTGCATCAGCTCTCCACGTGCTCGCTCTGGCTGTACTGCTCCTTCTATCTGGGCTCGTGCTGATGCCCTTCCTCTCGGCCTCCAGCTTCGACTCCCGAATTGCAGCGGCAGTCTCCTCCTCTTCTTTCCTGATTCGCAGGGACTCCTCCATCGACTGACGCTTTGCCTTCTCCAGTTCATCATCATCATCACGTGGAGTTTCTGGTTGATCCTCGGAGTCAACCTCGACGACTTCGACCTGCTGCTGCTCCACCTTCGGCGCCCCGACCCCGAGCGACATCTGCCACTCTCGGCGAAGTGCGATGTTCTTCTCCCGCTCCTCCTGCACCTGATGGCTGAGCGACTTCAGGAGCTCCGCGACGGCTGGTGGCAAGCTATCGAGCATGGCTGGGTTCTGCAAAGCCGCCTCGGCCGTGACGGGGGGCGTGCCGACGATGCCGTTGCTTCCGCGGGTGGCGTTGATGTCGTCAGGCTCCGTCTGCGATTGCTGTTGCTGATCGTCGTCTGGAGCCGTCTGCGGCTGCTGCTGCTGCTGCTGTTGCTGCTGCTGCTGCTGCTGCTGTGCTGGATCGTCCTCTGGAAACGTAGCCGTCTCTGCCGCTGAGACGTGTCCCCTCGGTGTGCCATCTTCCCAGAAGCTGGAGCCAATGGGCGGACATGCATCTGGGAATCTCGTCGCGTACTCAAACGTGTCCCACTGTCCGTCGTTGCTGCTGACTGGCAGCTCGGGCACCTCGGACTCGCCTGTCGACATCTCGATATGTCAAGTGTCAGGGAAGCTGAATGAAATCTCACAGGTTCGCCAAGCTATGGTTGAGCCAAAATGATGCGGATGTACGGCGGGGAGAATTGTCTGATTGTATTTGTGCTTCGCATTGCTTCTGGCGGTTGGCCCTGCTCCCCGACGAATCCACCTCGAGTCATGTCCATGTGCGTTTGTATCTTATGTGCGAGACCTTGCCAACGCCAGCACGAGCAGAGGGGTGAGGCAGAGAAGCTTAATGCGATAAGGCCCCATCGTGTTTTCGAAAGGTGAGGTTGCCCTGGTTTACGGCGCGTCTGTGCACGGCCACCGTTGGTATGTCATAAGGGTTTGCGAGCAGAGGAGAAAGACGTGAGGTCAGGGACACAATTGATATTGACTCTTGAGTCGCCATATTGTTTCATTCGAAGGTATCTGTTGTTTGCCCCCGTGCAACAGTGCTGTTTTTCGTGTGGAGTGTTGTGTGTAGGTGTGTGCGTGTTAGTCGCGGACTGGTTTGCTTTGGGGTGGGTTCGGGCTTGGATACCGTTTGTGTTGTTAGTGTTGTTCGGATTTAGCGTTAGGTTATTGCTTATTTCCGAGCATGTTGTCGGGCGTCCTTGTTACATTGACGTACTTGCTCATTGATTCGTGAGACGCAGGGCGAGGCGTCTCCTTGCGGCAGCTGGCGGCAGCCAGCGAGCAAAAACAATGAGCTGGACGAGTACTGAAAACGCAACTGCCAGATGCCGATGCTCGGGGCGCATCCAACAGCTCTCTCAACTGCAACGCTGCAGAACTGACGCCTTGAAACAGGCAAACAATAGCGAGCACATCTGGCTCTAAAAGATGAGAGCGTATGCTCGTCGACCCTTTGCAGCGCCAAAGCGCCGACCTGGCCGCTTACAGAATGCCGAGTGACAAGTCCTGGCATGCATCCCCATCCCTGCCCCAGACTTCCTGCCATCCTTCCCCTCCCAGCGCCAGCTCCGCACGCCTAAAAACAATCGGAGATTGGCGACATCGGCGGCACCTTGCGCGTGCCCGAGCCTGGCGAGCCCTTGACGGGCGACTGAGGCTTCTCTGCCGCTGGCGGCGTGGCTTGCTGTGCCGAGCCAGCATCATGCGATGGCTTGGCCGTCCCTCGAGGTGAGGGCGAATCGCTCGCTGCCGTCTCTCGGTGCGGTGGCGAGGCGATCGCTGCAGCAGGCTTGGGCATCATAGCCAGCTTGCCTCGCTTCAAACGTGGCGGCGACTCATCTGCCTCAGGCTGTTCGGGCACGTCGGACTCCGCGGGCTCCTCCCCGTCGTCGCCCATGCTGGATTGCTCAGCGTCCTCGGAATCGGCAAGCTTGGCCTTCTTGCCGTTCTGGTCATCCTCGTCCTCCTCGTCCTCTGGTGCCGCCGCAGGCCTCTTCATGCATGCAGCCGCTGGACGCTTCACCGCCTGCCTCTCTGCCTTGTTGCCGTCGTCGAGCCACTTGCGCTTGAGGCCATCCAAGTCCCCCTTGCTCGTGTTGTTGGCGTAGAGCTTGCAGGAGCTGATGATCCACTCCTTGGCCTTCTGATCGTTGTGGTAGCCTACCAACTGGATCACCTGTGCACCCTCGTGTCAGATCTGCATCCACTGCTTCCCGCCCTTCTTGACGTAGCGGCCGAGGATCTCTGTCTTCTTCGTGGTGTGGGCCACCCTGAAGAAGATATTGTCGTTTCTCATGATCGAGTGGCCAGGCGCATCAGGATCGTCTGCGGTGGTACCAGGCACCTCTCAGAAAGGAACGCGTTTACACTGCAAACAGGTGGATGAGGAGGGCAAGGAGGAGGGAGAAGAGTGAGATGCGTTGATCGAGGGGGAGGGCGGGGAGAAGGATGAGAAGGATGAGGAGGCGGAGGAGGATGAGGAGGAGGAGGGTGGAGGAGGAGGCTGGGGGCAAAGCAGCAGGAGGAGGGTGATATGGAGCAGGGCTGCGAGTGAAGAACGGGAGGTCAAGGGGAGGCAAGGTGCAGGTGGGGGAGGATAATCACATTATGGTGGCAGTCAAGGGAAAGAGGATTGAGGGGATAGATGAGTGTTGTCTGGGTTTCTGGGCCCGCTCACCTTCCATTTGAAATCGCCCTGCCAGACTGCCACGAGCAAGGATTCCCCATCCTCGGCCTTGGCGACCGCATACTCGGGGTGCTGGTCGGTGCCCAGAGGGATGCGCCACGCCGACTGCGAGGGACCCACCAGCAAGTCCTCCCTCCACTTCTCTCTCCATGATCTCTGTCTGCTCCTCCCGCCTTCTCTCCACCCAAGCTCTCCCTTATTCCTCCTCCTCCTTCTCCTCCTCCTCCTCCTCCTGCTCAGGTGAACCTGGAGAGGTTCAGCTGAGGGGCGTCATCAGGAACTACGCGCAGACAGCACGATGGGCAGCGGCAAACTTAGGATACATTGTTATTGACGGATCGTGCTGTCTGCGCGTAGTTATACGATGACCATCGTGTTGTATGCGCGTAGTTCCTGATGACACCCCTCAGCGTTAGTGTCTGCTGTTTGTTTGTCGACCGTCGGTCCTGGAGCTCCTTCTCATAGCCGAGGCGATAGCCCCGTTCCTCTGCCAGAGCCGCGAGGCCAAGGTCCTGGCTGGTCTGCCGTGAGGCCAAGGTCCTCCTCCTCCTCCTCATCGATCCTCCTATCCTCTTCATCCTCATCCCAGTCCTCCTAGTCATCCTAGTCGTCCTAGTCCTCCGTCTCCTCATCATCCTCTTCCTTGTATATCATCCTTATCCTCTCGCACATCCTCATCATCCTCATATTGCTGGCACTGCCGCTGGTACCCGCGTCCTTGTCCTCCTCCTGCCTGCTCTTCCTGGCCTTCTTATCCCCACTGTTGCCCTATATCCTTCTTCATCTGCTTCGTCTTGCCGCTGTCAGCCCCCGTGCCAGCGTCGACATCGTCGCTGGTCTTGGCAAGGTCTGAATCGACGAAGACCTTGGCCCAGTGCGGCACCGTAGTTCTCGATATTGCTTTGGCAACATGTCGTAGCATTGCCCGTATCATTCTGGCTGTCGTTGCAGACCACAATTTAGACTCCTTCTGGAGCTTCCACGTCTCGGAGTTAGCCTCTGCTATTTTGATGAGCGCCGCCTGGGAGCGATGCTATCATATTGGTTTCGAGGTCTCGATGTGATAGTGTGCTCACCGAGGCTCACCGCATCTCACCGCTTGCGGCGAGGTACGGTTAGCCTCGGTGAGCCCGACAACCCCTTCACGCCACCTCCTCCGTATTCTTTCCATCTTCTTCGATTCCGCATTGTTTTACTCCCTACCCTTCCCCCTTTCCTCATCCTCTCCTCCCCCTGCTCCTCCAGCTCCTACACCTCCCTGCTCCGTTCCCCCTCATCCTCATCCCCCCCTTCTCCTCATCATCCGGTACCCCTCCTTTTTCCTCCTCCTTCCTCCTCCCTTCTCTTCATTATCGTTTTCTTCTTCTTCGTCCTCCTCCTCCCATCCTCCTCTCATATTTCTGGTGACCGATGCCTCCGCCACCTTCTGGGGCACGCCGCCAGAAGGACAGATCTGCCGCGTGCCCTTCAGGAGGGCCTCATTCTCTATGATCGTAGTCGGATTCTGCTGGCCGTCGAGCTCCCGAGTGTACTCGAGCCTGGGCCACGGGGGCGCACGGATAAAGGCATACGAATAATGAATACATGCTAAAAAGGGTGGGGGAGGAGGATGACAAGGAAGAGGAGGAGGAGGAGGAGGAGGAGGAGGAGGAGGAGGAGGAGGAGGGGGAGGAGGAGGAGGAGGAGAAAGAGGAGGGAGGAGGAGGAGGAGGAGGAAGAGGAGGAGGAGGAGGGGGAGGATAGAGTCGCGGTGCGGAGGAGGAGGAGGAGGATTCCGGGAGGAGAACGGGGGAGGAGGAGGAGGAGGAGGAGGAGGAGACATAGATCCCCAGATCGACGGATCCGTTTACATCACAACGGGCCCCATCAATCCCAAATGTCCTTATCGTCCCCCATACCCAGTCTAAACCCTCGTTCTCATGAATGCCCTGCTCCTGTGGAATCCTCCTCCTCCTCCTCGTCCTGCTCCTCATCCTCCTCAGCACTACGATTATATCCTCCTCCTTCTCCCACTCCTCCTCCTCCTCCTCTCCTCCTCCTCCTCTCCTCCTCCTCCTCCCCCTCCTCCTTCTCCCTCTCCTCCTCCTCCTCTCCTCCTCCTCCTCCTCCTCGTCCTCCTCCTGCAGTTCTCCCCCCTGCTGGCGCCCGTCTGGTTTGGTGATAAACTTCGCCCACATCTCTGCCAGCTCATCTGCGTCCGCCGAGCTAGCCTGGCGGACGGCGCCCTGCTTGGGGCGCTTGGCCTCTGAAGCCATCCTCGAAACAGCTCGGGCCGCGAGGCTGCAGCAAAAGAGCTGGAGGAGAGGCAGAAACGCGGCGGCCGCAACCCGAGGTCGAGCATGGCCAGTTCCTTTCCAAAATGGTGTTCTCGCCCGAGTGGCCTGGTACTTCAAACGGGCACGGGACGGGACTGTATATATATATATATATATATATATATATGTATACCTATATGTATGGTATAAATATGTATGTGTGTAAATATAGATGTAGACATGTATTGTCGTTGGTGTTACGTTTACTCTGGTCGGGCGACTCTTCCTCCCTCTCGTTCTCCTCCTTGTTTTAAACTATTGGGTCACTATTGCTATGTTTTTTCATACAAGCGCTCGCCCCGATGAAACGTATTGTATGATGTGGATTTGTTAATTATTTCTGATGCACGTTAAGTATCTGATGGGTGAAGTTACCTGAAACGATTACGGCTATGGTTTTCTGATGCATATTTGATGGCGCATGGTTCGGGACTATAATATAGGAACGGGTGCTATTTTTTAGGAACATGATGACGGGACTGGAAAATAGTCCTTTTAGACCTCTGGGATCATCATCGCTATCACCATCATCACCATCGTCGTCTTCAACATGGAAGTCATCATGACCATCAACAGCACCATCATCAACATCGCCATCGTGATCGTCAACGTCGTAATCACCTTCACCGGTTCGCCGAATGGCCGTCGCCGGGTCACTGGGGCGCCGGGTCGCGAGATCTCTGGGGTCCTTGGGGTCGCCAAGCCGCAAGATCGCCAGATGGTGGGGTCGCCGGGTCTCTGGGCCGGCGGGTCGCGGGATCTTTGGGGGTCCCTGGGATCGCCGGGTCGCCGGATCGCCGGGTCGCCGGGTCGCTGGGTCGGTCGTCGAGTCGCCGGGTCGCCGAATGGCCGTGGAGCCGGGTCGCTGAATCGCCGGGTCGCCGCCAGGGTCGCCGGCTTTTTTGGAGTTCACTGAATTTTTGGCGCTCCGCGCGGAAATCCCGCATCTGCGCTGGACCCCCCCCCCTGGCGCGCTCCGCACACCAGGGAGGGGGGTCCGGCGCAGAGCAGGGAGTCCGTGTGGAGCGCCAAAATGTTATGTCCATGGCGTTTCTTCTTTTTCTTCTTATTCTTCTTTGTATTTTTTTTATTATTCTCCTTCTTCTTATTCTTCTTAACTTCGCAAGTCGCCCGCCCCTGAATTGCCGCCCACGTGAGTGGGCCGTCGTGGCAAGTACCGAAGGGCCGCGACGCCTCATGGACTGCTCAGCAGCCACGCGGCATTCGTGGGACTGCATGCGGAGTGCAAGAGGCTGGCGACGAGAAGTGAGGATGGCAGCCCATCGGGACACTTCTTAGTCAAAGTCTTGGGGCGCCCAGAGTGCCGATGGCCCTCGTGCATCGAGACGTGTGCCTCGGCAGGGCATCGCTTGGTGTGCTCTGGAGCGTGCCATCCGCCTTCACTGCGAATGCGCGGTGTGAAGATTTCGACGGAGGAGTGCAGGGCGGAGGGAAGGACGGGGGAGTGAGGAAGGCATGGACAGGGGACTCGAAGCGCCGGGAGAGGTAACAACAGCAGAAAGCCCCATTGGAGAGCAGAGAGAGGAGAATAGGTTTTGGCGAGAAGACGAGGCATACACAGTCAGGTTTCGCAGAGGGCAGATCAGGGGAGCAGCTTGGGCAAGTCAATGCTTGCCCAGGCTACGGGTTGGGACGGGGAGCACAGCTTGCAAGGCGCAGTATCATCAAGCCATCGGGGTGAGAGGGCCCCTGATGGCGTGGCAGGCGGCGTTGCCGAGCGCATCACGGCGAAGCTTCTCCGTGCAGACGCAGCCGTCAAGGCGAGATGCTTCAAGGCACGCGGCTGCCAGGAGGGGGCCAGGATGCGTGCGCCCAGAGGCTCTCGGACTGCCATCTCCGGAGATGTCGGAGGGACGAGAGGCGACACCGTCCCCCAGTAGGGGAGGCACCTCCAGCGAGGGAGCCCACGGTGCCTCTTCGAGCTGGGTGCGGTGGATGTCTCGAGCCAGACGGGGGACCACCGGCAGGAGCCTGCCTGGCGCCTCACGCCAGTGGTGGTGGTGGTGCTGGTGGCGCCTTTCCCTGCTCCCGTGCTGTAGCATCAAGCAGCCTCCCTCGTCAAACGAAGGCAGCAGCACATGATCTATTGACTGCCTCGCTGGGCCGTGACGAAATGGCGGCTCTGGTTGAGTAATAAAGTTGTGCCGGTTGTTGTGCATTTTTCGGATTATTATCGGCGGAGGTTTGTTGTTCTTGGAATGTTGAGTCGGTTGCCGTTGTAAAGTCGCAAATTGATACGTAAGTCTCGAGCGTTCAGGCGAGTTTGAGTTTCCGAATCGTGCACGACTGCGCAGGGAGTTGGCGTTCTTTATTGTCATCGCGGGTGGGTTGATGTTCACATGTGTACCGTGCGTCCCAATGTCTCCACGTTGCCCGCCATTAGTTTCGGGTGTTGTTATCAGCAATTTCTACTCACCGAACGGAAGGTCAACGTCGTTGATGTCGAGGAGACACCGCCGCGCGCTCTGCTCACCAGCATCCCGAGCAATGTGATTGTTGTTCCCGCATGATCGTTGAAAGCAATTGATTTATCGCTGCTTTTTTTAGGACGTACTCGTTCATGCCATATTCCTGTCGATGGCCATATTCAGATTATGTGTATGTCATGTGCACCATGCTGTTCAGAAAGGTAAACCTTGTTTAAATCGTCTCTTGTATTTCGTATAAATAAATACCCCTCCCCGGCCTCGGGTGCCACACCTCCCTGCCACATCTCGGGGACGTTCCCGGTACCGCTCCCTCGGGCGCCCCGGGGAGCCTCCACAGCGCTCCAGGAGGACCCAAGACGACTCCCAGGAGCGCCCAGAATGTGAAAGGATGTTACAAGACGCTCCCAATCACCCCAAGTCAGCCTTCCGACGGCTCTCGAGGCTCCCAGGTAACCTCCAAGAGACCCCAAGAGAGGTCCGAGGGGCGTCCCAGGACGACCCGAAGAGGCCCAAATCGTAGATCTTCATTGTTTTAAAATATGTTTGGCTTCTCGCGTTTTCGAGCTTCCAACGGTCCAAGAGCGCCGAACAGGCTCCCAACACCGCCCCAAGATCACCCAAGAGACCCTCAGGACGGCCCCAAGACGGGCCAAGAAGGCTCCAAGACTGCCGAAGAGGCGCCCAGGACAGCCCCAGACCACCCTAGAACAGGCCCAAGATGGGCCCAAGAGCGGGAGCAGGAGGCTTCCAGAGACCTCCGAGAGGCCTCCGGGGTTACCCAGAGGCCCCCAACACACCCCCGTCCATGAGAGGCTCCAAAAAGACCCCGACGAGGCTCCAAGAACAGCCCAAGAGAGCTGCGAGAGCCGTCCCGAGAAAGCCCAAAAGCGGGTAAACTCGTTGATTTCACATCGTTCCCCTAATGTTTTTCGCCGTCTCACGCTTTCCCGCTTCCAACCCTCGAAGATCGAGGATTTTGACAAAAAAGGAATTCCCAGAATTCCTCTTTCCCCAACCATCCTGTGGTGTTGGGTCCTCGTTTTGAGGAGACAAGGCCCGCGTCCCTCCTCTTCTCTCCTCCCCCTCCTCCCTCCTGCCCCTCCCCCCTCCTCCTTCCTCCATGCCTTTCACCCACCCAGTACAGCGTTTTATGGCCCCATAGGGAGCTCCACCTGCGGCCCCAGTGGGGGTGGCCACATGCGTCCGCCACACCCAGTACAGCGTTTCGTGGCCCGCTCCACCTGCGGCCCCAGTGGGGTTGGCCGCATGCGTCCGCCACAACCAGCACAGCGTTTCGTGGCCCCATAGGGAGGTCCACCTGCGGCCCCAGCGGGGGTGGCCACACGCGTCCGCCACACCCAGCACAGCGTTTCGTGGCCCCATGGGGAACTCCACGTAGGGCCCCAGTGGGGGTGGCCACGTGCGTCCGCCACAGCCAGTACAGCGCTTCGTGGCCCCATAGAGAGCTCCACCTGCTGCCCCAGCGGGGGTGGCCACATGCGTCCGCCACACCCAGTACAGCGCTTCGTGGCCCCATGGGGAGCTCCACCTGCGGCCCCCGTTGGGGGTGTCCACGTGCGTCCGCCACACCCAGTACAGCGCTTCGTGGCCCCATAGGGAGCTCCACCCGCGGCCCCAGTGGGGGTGGCCACATGCGCCCGCCACACCCAGTACAGCGCTTCGTGGCCCCATAGGGAATCCCAGCACAGCGTTTCGTGGCCCCATAGGGAGCTCCACCCAAGGCCCCACTGGCCACATGCGTCCGCCATACCCAATACAGCGTTTCGTGGCCCCATAGGGAACTCCACGTAAGGCTCCAACGCCCAGTACAGCGCTTCGTGGCCCCATAGGAAGCTCCACCTGCGGCTCCAGTGGAGGTGGCCACATGCGTCCGCCACACCCAGTACAGCGTTTCGTGGCCCCATAGGGAGCTCCACCTTTGGCTCCAGTGGAGGTGGCCACATGCGTCCGCCATACCCAGTACAGCTGTTCGTGGTCCCATAGGGAGCTCTACGTAAGGCTCCTGCGGGGTTGGCCACATGCGTCCGCCATACCCAGTACAGCTGTTCGTTGTCCCACAGGGAACTTCACCCAAGGCCCCAAAGGGGGTGGCCACATGCGGCCGCCACACCCAGTACAGCGCTTCGTGGCTCCATAAGGAGCTCCACCTGCGGCCCCAGCGGGGGTGGCCACATGCGTCCGCCACACCCGGTACAGCGCTTCGTGGCCCCATCGGGAGCTCCACCTGCGGCCCCAGTGGAGGTGTCCACATGCGCCCGCCACACCCAGTACAGCGCTTCGTGGCCCCAGAGGAAGCTCTACGTAAGGCCCCAGTGGGGGTGTCCACGTGCGTCCGTCACACCCAGTACAGCGCTTCGTGGCCCCATAGGGAGCTCCACCTGCGGCCCCAGTGGGGTGGCCACATGAGCCCGCCACACCAAATACAGCGCGTCGTGGCCCCATTGGAAGCTCTACGTAAGGCCCCAGCGGGGTTGGCCACATGCGTCCGCCACACCCAGTACAGCGTTTCGTGGCCCCCCAGGGAGTTCCACACAAAGACCCCAGCGGCACCGCCCGCATTCGTCGTCCACCACCCAGTATTGCATTTCGCGGCCCCATTGATTGGGAGCTCCACGTAAGGCCCCAGTGGCACCGCCTGCATGCGTCCCCCCCACCCGGTACAGCGTTTCGTGGCCCCGTAGGGAGCTCCAGTGGCTTCCGAAGGCCCCAGTGGCAACGCCCGCATGCGTCCTCCCCTCCCGTGGCCCCGTAAGGAGCTCCACCGAAGGTCCCAGAGACACCGCCCGCATATGTCGGCCACCACCCACTGCAGCGTTTCGTGGCCCCGCAGGGAGCTCCACCGAAAGACCCCGGCGGCACCACCCGCATGCGTTCCCCCCAACCAATACAGCGTTTCGTGGCTTCATCGGGAGCTCCATCGAGGGGCACCGCCCGCATGCGTCAGCCACACCCGGGACAGCTTTTCGTGGCCCATAGGGAGCCCCACCGAAGACCCCAGTGCCACCGTCCGCATGCGTCTCCCCCACCCATTATGGCATGTCCCTCACGCGTTTCGTGGCCCCATAAGGAGGTCCACCGAAAGCGGCACCCCACAACGCGTTATTCACAATTGCGTATGGTTGGGTCTTACGTAACGAGCGGCACAACACGCTCCCGCGCAGCCCGAGACACCCTTCCGACGGTTCTCCAGGGTTCCAGGAGGCTTCCAGAATGTTTTTGTCCTTTCCAGCCTGAGGCAGAGTTGAACGGTTAACGCAAGGCCTCCTTCTGGGCACGTTGCATATGGGCAAGCTTCGAGGAACCTGGAGGCAGTCCTTGCTGCACTTTCCTCAACTGTCGCCTGCCATACTGATTGAGGTGGGAAGTGCAGACGCATGCTAACTTCCTGACAGCTTGGGTGGCCACGCAGCCACAGGCCAGACAGACTGTGGTCCCCAACTCCTTGTGATAAGCCCAGGTGTGGGAGCTGTGCAGATCCGTGCCATTGACTGAACTCCCAGTGGGCACCACCATCACCCCTTTAAACAAGCCCTGGTGGCAAGAGGCCGCTAAACATTTATCTGCCAATTTGTGCAGCGCACATCCTCAACTGCAGTGACAGCGGACCTGGGAACAAATCCCCCACACTGGTTGGTGGGCTGTCAGGAGCAGTTGAATATTGATCTCTCGCCGTTTGGGTCTCAAAACGGCCTCCCTGGGCACACGATTCCCGTCGGTTTCGATCGATGCGAACAAGCTATGGCCCAGGTGCTGACGAACCTGGACAGCAATCGTCTGGGCATGGGACTTGCTGTCCCTCGCAGCAGCAGACACACGAATACTACCTGCCCACCCGTTCGCAACACGGTCCGCCAGAACATTCAAAAGAAAAAACAAGGGGTCGGTACCTTGTCCGCTGATGTCATCTACCTTTCTGTGGCTCTCCACTTTGGCAATCACGACTCCTCTGGCCGGGTGTTCTGCCAACGCATTCTTGACACTCTGCCACACATCAAGGTGAGACTTCGGAAAAAGTCCGAGGCGGATTGTGTTATACTTCTTCACTATGCAAGTGGAATCTCTCAAACAAACATCATCCGTCTGCAACAAGGAGGACAGCCTGCAAGACCTGCAGGAAATTCATCGCTTCCCCCCTGTTGACCGATTGGCGCCATCCAGGCACGTTGCCGAAACTGACTGCGTGGGCTTGGAGATCTCTGGGGCCATACTGTCCTCCTGCTCGGAGGCCTCTGAACACAACCCAAGACCAAGCCACCCTACAAATGGCGGGGTCCTGAGTGTCAGGCCCCCCGCTGGCGTCTCCCCCTCCAAAGAAAAAGCCGTCCACCATAGCCTCCCTTAGGTTCCCCCCGTAGGTCTGGAAATCCTCACCCTCGGGGGGAGGGGGCACGGCTGTCCAGCTGCTTGGCATCAGCCCTCGCAGCCAGAAACTAGCATTGCTCTCCCAGTCCTCAAGGGCCCGCCTTGTCACGCAGTCAGGCACCTTGGAAACTTCAGCATTTTTAGGACCACCCCACGCACGATGCACATCACACTCCACCAGCTCACCACATCCCTTACAGGAGCTGTCCTGGGTGAGACTGCACTCTTGGAGTCTAGCGCGTGGCCACTTGTTCCCAGTGGCCACAGCCTGCAGGATAGTCGTTTCCTCCCTTCTGTGAAGGCCAGATAGTCAGGGTTTAGTAGCCTGGCTCGACATCTTCTGGTAAATACAGCTACCGTGCTTGAAGCCAGACACAGTGTCAAGAGGAAGCTCACAGAGCGCTCTACACGTGGTGTTTTCCCTACGTCGGAAACAAAGGTGTCGTTCGTGTCAACGTCGGCCTGCCCCGCGTCACGCTGGAGACGGAACGGACCACGGGTGCCTGCAGCCCTTCAGGCAGGCGCGTCCCCGAGCAAGAGGCACCCCACCATAATGGGTGCATTCGGCCCGTGGGGGTGGGCACATAATTCAAATATGTGTGTGCCTTTGTTACAGTGTTTCGACAAGTTGTATT